GAGTTTGACTAGGAAGTGAGTGGGGGGATTGTCTACAGTTCTTGTTTCCCGTACTTTCCTACCTGCCAGTTGATATTTTGTGATTAACTTAAACCGACCTTGTACTTTTTCTATAGTATACGTGACTCAGCATGACACGGGTAATTCTAGTGATTTTATTTACATCACTGAATAAACTGAAATCACTAGACCATAAAAACTAGACTTGCCAATAAATCTAAATTTTAATTGTGATTTTGTAATATAACTCCGGGTGTGCCAATATTAAATTTGGCTCTTGTACATTCACCCTCTCTATTCTTAATACTTTGTTATTCAATGTAAATATAACTCGTCTGGAAAAAAAGAAGTATAACTCGTCTGGAAAAAAAGATGACACTAATTGCATAACCTACCCTGCGCAGGGCAGTAGAGAGCGATTAAGGTCCATGGGGTAAGAACCACCCGGGCCACTCCTAGTCCTTGCTAAAACAAAATTTTCCTTTATAAAATTAAAAAGTGTTGTTAGGTCCGGACACCCTTACGGCCCCAGGGATATATCCCTGGTTGTCCCCTATTTTGTCAACCCTGACTCTGCGATAAATAACTGTGTTTAATTAGATTATGTCAATGCTCCAAAACACACGTATTCAGTGAAACGGTAATGCTCACAACAGAAGGTAGAAATGAAACATCATCTGAAAACATTTCGGCACAAAAATGGTGAATAAAATGTGTATTGTGCAGGACGTAGTTAACAACCCGTATGTATAACTAAATATAACTTTCAAATGCTTTGCATGTTTGTTTTTTTTTTTACTAGTACATCCACTCCTTTCTAACATTTTCAATTCTGAAAAAAGTCAATTTCAGCTCAGTGTTGATAAGTGACAGGCAGCCGTACTAATTCATCTAGAATCAAAACGTTTGCATCCAATTTTCCAAGCTTTGCTGATCGATAGGTGAGAATACATATGTATCTACATACTTGTATCAATAATGTTCTTATATATTTGTTTCATCATTTTTCATAAATCATTCGTTGAACTTTTGTCCGCAAACTATGTCTTCCGATTAAAAATCGTTGATTCAGTCATTTATTTATTTTGTTTTTTAGATGCATAAATATCGGAGAAGATCATTAATGTACGCATTCTCTCAAGCCATTAACAACAAGCAGTGTGAGTAACCTGAAATAAGGAAAACTTAGATAATTAGATTTTAGAATTGTAATGCATATTGTTATAGACAAACAGAAATAATGCGTGATTAGTTTTTTTCCACTATGACATTCCGTTAGACTGGAGAAAACCTTTATTATTAGAAAATCTTTTTAAATCCTAGCTTGTTGGCAGTGTTGCAATTAGATTACACTTAACAGTACGGTACCGACCCCCGAATTCGTCCTTCCAGCACGGACGTACCAACAATAACTGTCTTACTGGTATGGCAGGTTGACCGTACCATCTTACCTGCCAGGACAAGGTTACTTGTCAGGACCAGCTTACCTGACCGTACCGGCATACACCACTGCTTGTTAGGCAGTTAAGTATCTTACCTAGTAATGAAATCTTGGGAGCATCTATTCTGCAGATAAAATTGTTTGCTGCTTGGCGTTTTATATTTGCCTTCGAGGAAATTCTCTAGGAATGGGAATTAAGTGATATCATAAGAAGATTATCCAGTTGAGGATTTACACGCTTACTTTATACCAGGACAGGTAAACAAGAAAGCACACCTGTACTATAGAGTGAATGGTACAGAAGACACTACAGAACAAACCGAGTAGAGAAAGGCATTGAAGTGTAAAGTATAGTTCACAGTAACCTTTGAGAATGATTGCGTCGTACATATCCTTACAACGTTAACTCAACGAACTATTCAAAGTTATTGATGCGTGGAATGCAGCAATACTTAACAGTAGGGACCCATCGACAAAAGTCCCGTCACCTTACACTCAGTTTTATGCCACACTGAGGACAGAGAAGTCGGTGAAGAGTTAAACGAAGAGGATTGTGGCATACTTTAATTATTTTCAATATGAGTATACATACTACCATAAATAAGATTGTCTCGGAAAGAAACTAAGCCTAGGTATGATGAATAAGTGGACGGATGACGGACAGACAGACATGTAGACGATGTTAAAACTCTACTCCAAATTTATTGTGTATAATACAATTTTATTTTTGTTACATCTAGATAAAAAGAAACACGTACTTTTGCATTATATAATAATGCAAATTGTAAGAAATTAAATATTCGTAAAAAATGTGTTAAAACATATCGATTTATATGATGCAAATATTTATAAACGAGCATAATTGTAATTATGTAATTCGAAAGTATAGTTTTTATATGCCTATAAAACACGTTCAATTCTATACTTAGCAAACATTACAAGTATAACTTTATACGTTTCACTGCAAATTTCAGCAAAAAAGAGAATGTTAAAAACAAAAAATTATTACAATATTATGAATATTCTGTACAACAAAAACGAGTGAAATTTAAAGTCAAAGCCCTAAATACCAACTATGAACAAGCTTTCGTCTAAAACTTTAGCCTGTACTATACACATACCATATATTACATGTAAAATTTTACTTCAAACTCTTGACAAAAATAAGCAAATTTGTTTTAAAAATTGTGTAAAAAGTAACAATTTCATGAATTTGTTATTCATAGCATAAAAGTAGTTCCTCTCTGTGTGGCATAAAAAAAGCATTACACATAAAATTTAAACTGCCAACTAAATCTACTAACGGTTTCTTGTCACAGGATAAACTTTATTTCATTTGGTATATGTCGGCTTCATATCATGCGGCAATGATAACTACGATAAAAGAAACGTTGTTCCATATTAGAGGATCGTTTTGAAAATATCCATATATTTTTTTCAGCAACACACCAATCGACACTATATATAATTTTAGACGATAAAATTTCAATAGCAAAAGCAGTAATAAAGAAAAATATAAATTTATCCTGTTCTATTTGGAGTTACCTGGATGAAAGCAGTATATTGTTTTCTTAATTATGGCATAGAGATCTGCTTCAGGTAAAACAAAATGTCTTTCAAATGTGTAATCCAATCAGGCCGAATCAAGTCCATCTCTTTACTTCAAAAAACATTAAGGATATTTGTTTCCCCAGTCCTTGTCAATTGTAGAATGAATTCTTTTTGAAATATATACCATAGCGGATCAATATTACGAACAAAAACATTACTCACAGAAGTTGCTGATATTATATGGGCGTTTCAATGTAATTCAAGCAATTAATTTGGTGTAAAGTTATTACCTTAACGACCACCCATAACATTATTGAAATTTGACACATGACATGGCAACAACAAAATATCAGTAACCATTGCACGTCAACAACGACGAAGAGGACAAAAGTGTTAGCCAATACCTGAGAAATGATGCTGATAATATTGCCGGTGTTTTGTTTACTTTAACGGCATTTTTAACACGTTTGTGGCTATATCACGTCCAGGAAATTGGAGATAAATGACTTTTCCAAGGATAGACTGGGGTCATCATGGGCGAGTTTCGAACTTACGACCATTACATTGCAAAACCGAAGCTCTACCAAATCAGCCATAGTGATTACCTAATGATTAAGAAGGCGACGACGGCAATGAATTACTTCATTTTAATGTGGAATTATTCTTGCAGCTGACTTTAATTTCAATGCGAATTTTACATCGTACAGTACTAAAATTCAGCTGCAAGGAAAAAATATGACAAAAATAACCCAACAAAATAATGCAAACATTGCTGATATTACGATTACGCAAACGCAATTGAATTTAACTCCTTTAAATTACTATCTATACAACGCCTCCCCCAAGCCATGGACGTAACATTTTTGCATCTACTTGCATATAAATGGATTTTATTGGGTTGTGACTGAATTAGGTATATATGCCTTGTATTATATACCCGTCTTATATTTTTTCTTCAGTTTTTGGAGAAGTAAATTTAAGAAGGAAGAGATGAAGATATTGGGATTAGTCATTTCTTGAAATAAAAATGTAGAAATCATTTATCCATTCATGAATACGCGATAAATATATACACTGATTCGATCACCTTTTTAGACAAGTCTAAAAATAACAAAAATGTTGGATCTAAACATCAGAGTCCCGGGTGGCCGAAATGTGTATGGCGCTCGCTTCACAGATCACTTCTGCTCGAGTGGGTTGGTGTATCGGTTCAACCAATATGGTTGTTATAAACTTTACACTAATATTCCGCGCTCTGGTGATTCTTTCCGGTTTTTTTTTTCTCGGATATTTCTCGACAAATTATACTGTTCACCTTGTATAGAGTACAGTGTGTTGAAAATTAGAGTTAAATCCCACAATAAAAAATTAAAAGAACCAAGCATAAAAGAAATCGGTGACTTAGATATTTTGCGTTTGCATTTGACTACCACTTAATTTAAAGGACATTTCCTATAGAATGAAAAGCTATTATTCGTGTACGAAGCATCTGCTGTATAGTAATTATAATACGCTTTCTCGCGATATCGTGTGAAATGCCTGGACTATCTAGTGAGATACATCGACTATCGTGTGAACTACCTCAGCTATCACGTGAGATATCCAGAGTATCGCGTGAGATACCTCGACTATCGTTTGAAATGCCTTGTTTGGTTGTAATGATCTTACCAACAGCTGAAGGTATACACCTGTAGTTGGAATGCCGGTTGTTAATACTTATCTTGACAAAAATGAAGCAAATAATTTTGCATTCTGCTGTATGGAAAGCAGAATGTTCTTTTAAATCACGCCCTCCAATTTTATTAGATTGTTAGTGTTATTGCTTTAATTAGTTTATTATTGACGTTTTCTAATTTTTTTCTGCTACTGTAGTTGATGAAAACTTTGAACAAGGCAGACGTTAAATCATGTTAGAGGAATACATATTTCCAGCGTCGATGAGCTCTTTATTTAGTATGACATTAAATACCGACCGTACTCGCGTTTAAGTTGGATTTAACTGCATTCAGGCCGCGCCGGTGGCCTAGTGGTTAGAGCGTCCGCTTTGGATGCATGAGAAGACGGGTTCGAACCTTGGCCGAGTCATACCAAAGACTAATAACAATGGTACTAACAGCAAAAAGAGGTTAGTGTTTAGGACTGGAATAATGTGACTGGGTGGGACATCATGCTATATATTTGCGGCAAGAAGCCCCATTGCTAGGAATAATTATAAACTGCTACACTGCAGGCATCGTAGCGTTATTTCTGAAAATTGTTTAAAGATACACTAAAATCTCTCTCTCTCACACACACACACACACACACACACACACACACACACACACACACACACACACACACACACACACACACATGCAATCACTCACTCACACACACACACACACACACACACACACACACACACACACACACACACTTATTCATCCATATCTGCCCTCGAACAAAGCACAGGTATTTCTGGGTCTGTACAGCTCGGATTAATAAATATAACAAAGAACAATGATCCCGATTTACCTGCGCCTTAGGTATATTACCCCTTACCACTAGTTAAAGCTAGAGGTGACTTTTTATCGGAGCCATTTAACACGCAAAACAAATCTCCATAGGAGACACACTCTTTACGAGAAAGGGCAATTTTATGTATTCCGTTGGTCCATTTTAGAAAATATTTGGGGGTAAGGGACAGTTTTATGCATCAATCTGCCTAAAACAAAAATTAAAAAAATAAATCAAATATATGAGTGAAGCTTAAAATGCCCATATTTTTGGATATGTATAATAAAGATAAACATAAGAATATTATTCACTTGACCTGACAAGTGTGTGGAAACTCAGAATAAAATGTTGATGCACCTCACCCCCAAATTTTTACATGCATTTTTCGTGTCCGAAAGCCATTATTAAGAACATGTGACACAAGCCAATTCGATAGGTAATAATTTTGAAGAACACTGTGTACTTAATGCAATTTAAAATAGTAGTCATCCAGGCAGTTTTCGAAACATAATTACCTGCCTGAAACCAACGCGTCTACTGCTATAAAGGGCTAGTTCAGCTTCATAACAGACTATTTAATATTTCACTGCCTATATAATATTCAGTGACTATATGAGGTGAACACCATTTTCAAGAATAACACATGCCTGAAAGACCAAATTCAAGTATATCAATATCTTCAATTATTACAGAATTATAGATCAAAAAGTCACATCATAGCCTTTAAATTAAGAAATTTGCTAGGGGTCAATTTACGAAACTGTCTCCTGCCACCTTTTCACCGCGGTTCAAAACTTGGAGCAAATAATGTCATACATACAATTGTTGAACATTACATTATGTCTTCGTAGGGTAGATCCCAAGAAGGGCAGTGCACACATTTTAGGTTGCATTTTGATCTCCCTAGAGATTGTCCATCAACAGAGGGTACTGTACAGGTTAGCATGGCCTTGTGTTGGAAGAAAGCATTAAGCTTAGAACCGTAGATGTTCAGCGTTCTCATTGTGTAACTTGAAGCTTCCTATTAGTACGGGTTTCTAAACCGTTTAGTGTGGCAGGGAAAATTAAGTATACTCTTCTAAACTGGTTAATCTGGCGGGGGTAATAATGTATACTATTCTAAACTGGTTTATCTGGCATGGGATTAAAGTATACTATTCTAAAACGTTTAGACTGGCAGGGAGATTAAAGTATAATCTTCTTCTAAATTAGCTAATCAGGCATGGGGATTAAATTATACTATTTTAAACCATTTATATATATATATATATATATATATATATATATATATATATATATATATATATATATATATATATATATATATATAAAGAGAGAGAGAGAGAAAGAGGGAGAGAGAGAATAAACATTCCTAATATGCTTGAAAGCATGACGTTTCAAGTCAAGTAATAAGAAGTCGATACAACAGTGGTATTTCGTGTGGACAGATGCTTTTGCTCCAAATAATGATTTAAACTAACCAATCAGAATTATCTAGACAATCTATTCATTATGAATTATAACTATAATCTGCACTCTGCTGCGTTTATTATAGATTAATTTTTCAACATGGTTGCTAAGTACCGCGCTCAAAGACACAAGTCCTTAGAAATAAAAAATTTAATCGGCTTAGCATTCCAAGGGCAAAGATAACAGGAAATGATCAGCTGAAGATATGCAGGTAAGACCCAATCAAGAATAAAAGACGAAATAACTCAGTTCACAGACGGATATTTTATGGCAGGGGTACTTAATAAGTCGATCGCGATCGACGGGTAGATCGCATAGCATTAAAAAAAATAGACGTCAGCTTATATATGTTTTGCATTTTTGTGGTAGGTAGATCATTTTGGCTTGGTCATTTTATATGTAGGTCACCTTACAATCAAAATTTCTTGTTTCCAGATAAACTAGGGATAGTAAATATAATCTATATTAAAAGAAAAAAAAAACAAAATAAAAGACAACACAAACATGCACACACTCATGCACACATGCATATGGCAAAATGTAGGTGACATGAGCTTTAGTGCTTTGTTCCTGTTTATCATCCAATCAGATACAAGTTACCTCTTCATCTGTTGAGATCCATTTCTTTCGAAATTGGTCCTCTTTTTTTTTTTTTGTTTATCTTAGCAGCATATTTTTTCAACGTTCTTATACAGTACAACTCTCTGTTTAAAAGCATAGATGGAAGGATTTTGCATATTGAATCTACTAGTATAAATTTAATATTTTGCCAAAAAGCAAGAAATTACACAAACTGTCCAGTTGTTCACTTCCTAAAAGTATTTCTTTTTTTGACAAATGTACAATATTTGGGCAAGATTGTGCGAAATGATCAATAAAACTGTACTGTGAAGTAATATTGCAATCATAGAAGAGATGTTCAATACTTTCATTCTCTTTCTTGCAAAATGTACATTTGTTGTCGTCCAATATGTTTATTCTTTTCAAAAAATCATTAGTAGCGATTATTCTGTGGAATAATCTAAAGTTAAAAGAGATCAATTTGATATCCTTGGTACAAACTTTCGCCCTGCTATAAATCTCAGACCACTCCTTACTACTTATATTTGTATTTAATAATTGCATCCTAGATTCTTGCTTAGCAGTATGTTGCCTTTTAACCCTTTTTAAAAGATCTTTGTAAACAAACTTGAGTGAATTATATTTTTCAGATCCATTATTTTATCCTCCTGCCTTTCAAAATTATTATGTACTAAATGGTTTTTTATGGCTTCTTTCCATGCTTTTGGAATTTTGGATAATAAGAAGTATTTCAAGAAGTCGCCTCTTCTAGTTTTTTGTTTTATCATTTCAAAAGGTAATAAATTACCATGATTATCTACTAGATCATTCAAAAGTTTAAAACCAGCTTCTGTCCAGGATTTGTATTGATAGAACATTCTATGGGGGATAAAATTAAAAATGCTCATGGATAAGAACTCATTTGCACTTTACGGTTCCTCTTTCCAATAAGATACTGCCAAAATGACATCTCTCCAAAAACTGTTTTAATGACCTTACTAAATTCTTCTAATTTCCTTCTCCCCAAGTTCCAAACATCCTTTTCATTTCTGAGTATAATTGTATTGATTAAGTTCTACCAAGCTCCATTTTCATTTTCCAACAATCTTTTTACCCATCTTATCTTAATATACCTAATATACGAGAATATATGTATCATATTAAGTCCTCCCTCGTTCTCTGGGGCTACTATTATATCGCGTTTAATTCTCTCTACCTTTCAACTCCATACAAATTTAAATAATGAACGATTTAGTTCTGCTTCAACTTTGACTGATGGATTTGGAAGTGCTGAGAAAAGATGTACAAATATGGGCAGAACAAGGGTTTTTACAACAATTACTTTACCAACAACTGACAGATGTCTTTGACTCCAGCTTGCCAATATTCGCTTTGCCTTTGTTAGTTTCTTCATATAATTAATTTCCACCATTTGTTGTAGATCTGGCGAAAAATCTATGCCAAGGAGTGTAAAGTTTGAAGAGGACCAAATTAGGCCCATATCGGGACATATTCTTTCATTAGAAAATTTCTTGTTTCCAACACAAATGGCTTTTGTGTTTGTTATGTTACATTTAAGTCCGAACAATAAAAAAAATCTTTTCAAGATATTCATAGCTGCTTTAAGAGAAAGTTGAGATCCATCAAGAAGAATAAAAGCATCGTCGGCATACTGACCCAATTTATATTCATTGACATCAAAGATCAGTCCCCGTACATCCACAGTTTGCTTGAAAGTTATAGCTAAAATCTCAACCCCAATAATAAACAAGTAAGGTGCAAAGTGATCTCCTTGACGACATCCTCTTTCTAGTCTAAAAAAAGATGACATATGCCCATTATTTATAACAAAACTTTTAGAGTCATTACAAAACAGCCTAAACCACTTACAAATAGAATCACCAAAATTGAAAGATTGTAAAGCTTCTTCCACAAAGGTTTATTCAATTGAGTCAAAGGCTTTTTTAAAGTCTATTCGTAATAATAAACCATATCTATTTTCATTTTCAAGTTGATTCATGATATTATATAGTAGCCTGGTATTTTCTCCAATAAATCTTCCCTTCATAAATTCTTTTTGGGTATTACTGATTACTGAGTGAAAAACCTTTTTGATCCTGGCTGTAATGGCTCCCGAAGCGATTTTATAGTCAAATATTTAAAAGTGATATAGGTCTCCAATTTTGGAAGAATCTTCTATCTTTTTCTTTCTTTGGTAGACATGTTATTACTCCTTGAGTCTGAAAATCTGAAAGTTTTCCTACAGTGTATCCATAATTTATTGATCTACAAAGGAATCCCCCAAGAAACTTCCAGAAGAATTTATAGAACTCTACAGTGAATCCATCTGAGCCAGGACTTTTTCCATTTCCCATATTTTTTTAGAAACAAACCACATTCATTAAATGTAAGCACACCCTCGCACGAATCTCTTTCCGATTGACTGAGTTTAATATTGTGATTAAAAAATCTATTTTGGTTAGATAATCTATTTTGAGTTTCTTGAGTCTCCTCGTCATCAAGCTTAACAATTCTACTTTTGTACAATTCCATAT